TTCAAAAGTTAGCATGTGAAATTGCAACTTTCTGTCCAGAGAAAATGTGTTGCACTGGCGGACATGTGTAGCAGCATTATTTTCTGGCGGCCAGGCTTGTAATGACATCACAGGACTGTTCTGCTTGGGAAACGTCCTGCACTGGTATGGTGTGAGGTCATCGACCAGTGAGCTGCTAAAATATAATCGGAGAGTGCCCTGCACATCTGTGATGGAATAACTTGGCTTAAATGGGGGGAAAAAAGATCAATCAAATCGGTCCATGGCCACAGTTGCCTGTGAAATAGGATGTTAATAGGTGCTATATTTTAAAAAGTGTCTTACCGTCAATACATTTGGAAAAGCCTGAAGAAAGGACAAAATTAAACCGATATTTTACAACAGAACTTTTCAGGGCTTGTATTATGCTGATACACACTATAAGTCTCCAAGAAAGAGTCACAAAATATTTACTCAACATCCAGCCTGGTTCTTGTTCTCAAACAGCAAACGGTCTACCAGAAAAGGCAGCCTAAGCTACTATATCACTCTGCACACGATGTAAGAAAATGGAACATGGGAATGCTCGAGAACAAGTCACTTGATCTGCCTGTGTGAATAAGGAAATCCTCCACAGAGGAGCCCACTGTGGAGCTGGACCTGGTATGCTGAGTTTAGAGCAACCTGAATGTTGCAGCACAGTCCTATAAAAGAATCCAAAAAGTTCTTACTGTTATGGGATACCAGTTTCATGGCCAAAATTCGACTATCCAGGCTTAATTCTTGATTGTTACTTTTGCCGTTGTATTGGCTATCATGCTTTCTGTACTCTGTACAGAATCTAAAAAGAACTCCACAAAGCAAATAAGCTTGCCTTCTTATATTTAGCCACCAAAATTAGATAAACATAATCTAAAGGAATAACCTGTCATGTGTTTTTCAAGCAAGAAAATATGAAACTATGTATGTGACGTCTCAATCCAAAAGTACAAAAGGAAAAAAAAAAAAAACCTCCTCAGAAAAGCCCAAAAATGTCCCCATCAGCACAGCGTCACTGGAGCATCATTTGTTGATTTACTAAAGATGAACATTCAAGTATATCCTAGTGGCATTTCCACACAATCAGAAGGCACCAAAGAAATCAATCTGGACACACGGGTGTTATCCAGGTGGCTGAAAATGCAAAGAATTTGGTGCTTCTGCAATTTTTCCTATTAATCAGGTCAGGCATTTGACACTTGAGGTGGCAAAAAATTGTTTTAATGGCAACATCCCCTTTCCCGCCTTGCCAATTACCCTGGCCATGGCATTCCTCTGTCCACACAGGCCACAGCTGCTTAATCTCAGCTGCCCCAGGCTGCACCTGTGAATCAGACCAGCCTAATCACACTAACAGATGGCAGAGGCTAAGTAGCCAGCTAAGAACTGCTATCACTTTAAATAGCATCTAATGTTTCACAGGCACCAAAGAGAGGCACCTCCCAACTGCAGTATCTCCCTGGTACAGCTAACACCAGCCCTTAATCACTGCAGAGCACCCATTTCAGGGGCAGAGTTGGTGTCATTCGAGAGCCAATTACAAAACAGTGTTTTCACAAAAACACTCTGTTTACAAGGTGAAGGCATGGCAAGTACACTGTTGGCTGGCGTTCATCACACAGGGCACCATCTACTGCTAGGCACTTCTGCATGGACCCTGGGTCGAGACCAGTGATCACCAAGCAAAGCTGGAGGCCCAAAGCAGGCAATCCTTCGGAATCTCTCAACCTGATTGCTATGTAACCTATTCCTGGCTGTTGCTTTTTATTACTTCATGTGGGTTCATGGTAACCCACAATCAGTTAGCCCACCCCGACAACACAGTTCCTAGGCATGCCTACAACACCAAGCTGATGGAATCTGATTTCTCAATCCATAGCAATGGCACCCACATGCAAATATCACTTGAGAGCCATAAACACCTGTACAAGCCTTCACTCCTCTCTCATCACGGCCCCAGCAAGCCCACATGCAACAGGCCTACGAATGAACTGCAGCTCAGCCTTTCGCCCATTCAGTTGTAATCTTCAGTCAGTAAAACAAGAATAAATACTTTCTCCACTTGATCAGGTTATCAGAGGTATTGACTGAACCAGCTGCCGGCAAAAACCTATCCAAAGTAGGCCCTCAACATCCTTGCCTCCAGCTTCATGCCACAGTCAACAAACGAAAGCAAGTGACATGCTCTGCTGTATCCATGGGTTTTTTAAATTAAATAACAACAACCTCTTTAGAAGACTGGTACAAATCATAGTAGAGGATACTTTTGCCTTATTACCCATTGTTTTATGAACAAGACCACTAACGGTACTCTTCCATTCAAGGCAGATCTCCACATGCAAATTCCTAAGTCAGCAGTTCTCACACTTCAGCCTAAATCAGAATCATCCCAGAGTCTCTAATGCAGTTTGAGTCTAAAAAGGGGCCTGAGAATCTTCATTTCTAACAAGTTTCTAAGTGATGCTGACACTGCTGGTGCAGGGGCTGCTAAGCTTCCTCTTGCCAAAAAGTAAAAACTGCATAAACAAAAGTATTTCCCTTGTTGCTCAAGCTGCTAGGAGACTCAGGGACAAATCCAAATCTTCACTTAAATAACACATTTATCCCAGGTGCCTATTTTCTCTTCTTGTTTTAAAAAGCCCTAGGCTAAAAGACAGTATTTTCAAAAACAGCACAACAACTAGACATCCACATGCAAAAAAAAAAAAAAAAAAGAATCTAGACACAACCTTACATCCTTCACAAAAATTAACTTAAAATAGATCACAGACCTAAACGTAAAACACAAAACTATAAAACTCCTAGGGGATAACATAGAGAGACTCTAGATGACCTTGGGTTGGGTAATAACTTTTTAGATACAACACCAAAGGCCCAATCCTTGAAAGAAAGAATTGATAAGCTAGACTTCACAAAAATTACAAATTTCTGCTCTGCAAGAAACACTATTGAGAGGACAAAAAGGTAAGCCACAGACTGGGAGAAAATATTTGCAAAAGACATATGTAATGAAGGACTATCACTGAAAAATATAAAGAACTCTTAAAACTCAAAGATAAGAAAACAACCTAATTCAAAAATGGACCAAAGGCCTTAACAGACAGTTCACCAAAGAAGATATACAGATGGCAATTAATCATATGAAAAGATTCATCACATTACTATATGTCATCAGGGAAATGCAAACTAAAACGATGAGCTATCATAACACACCCATTAGAATGGCCAAAATCCAGAACACCAACGACATCAAATGCTGGTGAGGATGTACAGCACCAGGAGCTCTCATTTATTGCTGGTAGGAACGCAAAACGTACGGCCACTTTGGAAGGCAGTTTGGTGGTTTCCTACAAATCTAAACATACTTTCACCATACAATCCAGCAATCACACTCCTTGATAGTTACCCAAAGAAGTTGAAAACAATGTCCACACAAAACCTGCAGATGTTTATAGCAGCTTTATTCATTATTGCCACAACTTGGAAGCAACCAAGATGTCCCTTAGTAGGTGAATGAATAAACTGTGGTACATACAATGAAATAATATTCAGTACTAAAGAGATATGCGCTAGCAATCCATGAAAAGACATGGAGGAAATTTAAGTGCATATTACCAGGCAAAAGAAGCCAATCTGAAAAAAGCTGCAGACTATATGATGACATGCCCTAATGTAAACTACGGGTTTTGGGTGATAATGATGTCAGTGTAAGTTCATCGACTGTAACAAATGTACCACTCTGGTGGGGACACTGATAATGGAAGGGGCTGTGCAAGTGGGGGGGGCAAGGACATATAGAAAATCTTTGTACCTTCTTCTTAATTTTGCTGTGAACCTAAAACTGCTCTTAAAAATAACCTTAAACAAAAAAACTCAGGACTATTTTAATAACTAATTGTCTTATTATTTGTTTAAATTGTCTAAATTGACTAAAATCCCTCTGAGAAAATGTAGACTATGCCATGTGATCAAAGAACCCCGATGCCCAATGTACAACCACTTTGGGAACATCCCAGCCATGTCACTGAAGAATGCAACTAATGCTGCATTTTTTCTTCTTCGTTGAACAAAAAACGTACAAGCACTCACTCTTCTCAATACTGTACAAATATTAATTCATCTAATACTCATAACAACCCCAGAAAATATTATTATTATTCTTCTCATTTTGGAGTTGAAGAAACTAAGGCACAGAAGGAAAACGAGCACTTCCTTTCACCAAAGGTCCAATCCACAAAAGAAAGAACTGAGTAGGATTCAAATCCAGACTGCCCAGTTCCTAGAGGCTATGCAATAATCTTTCACACCAAGAAAAGGACCTCTCAAGTGATAGTGCTCAGAGTTAGTGGCCTCCAAATAAGCAAACCACGGTTGGCCCCCTCTTCAGTCATGGCCTGCAAGGCACACTTCTTTTCTGCTCAGCATAAGGCACATGTTTTAGAAGGTCAGGGTCTCTTGACCTCGGCACTACTGACATTTTGAACCAGATACCTCTTTGTTACAGGGGCTATGCTGTGCATCCCTGAGCTGTGTCCATCAGATGTCACTAGCAATCCTGCCCCTGTTGTCACAACCGAATATTGTCAAATGTCCCAGGGAAGCAAAGACAGGTAATCACCCCCAGTCACACAGCACAATCAGTGGTTTCAAAGAAAACCAAGAAGTTACGTGGCTCTCCTCTTTTTCTGTCTCTGAACAGTGAGAAGTCAAAGGGAAAAGAAAAACCAAGGAAAGAAAAGTAGTAACTACTTTGAAAAGTGAGTGGCCATGGACACAAGAAGAAAGGACACACATACAGAAGGGTGTATAGCAACACTGGTTTATTCTCAGGTATGAAAGCCAGGAAAGAAGACACAGCGGGGAAAGGCAAGGGCCACAGGAACAGCACGGCGCTGAAGAGTCGACAAGAAGACAGGTAACAGGCAGAACTTCCCTCCATGAGCTCCTTTCCTGGGGACCATCAGAGTCGGGCCGTTACTTACTCTTGTTGTTACTGCTCTCACTGACAAAATCTTCAGTGCCATCGGTGTCGTCCTCATCATCTCCAGATGAGATGGCATCTGTGTTCAAAAGAATATATCCATGGATGTGTTTTTCACAAAGCAAAAGTTTGCAATTATCTACAACTTAGACCTTGGCTATAGTGAAGTCAGCAATCCAGTAATCCACACAAGAAGGCTGAGATTGTGTTTAGTTAAGATCATTTTAATGGCTTAAGTTTTTTCTCCAAAATGACAGTTGGCCTATGTTATGATTCTCAATGTTTTCTGTTTTCACATTATTTAAACAGGCTATAAAATTGATATATTAGAACTGGATTTTAAGCTTCAAGCAGTATTCATGCCCCCGACAAATTTACCAATTGTGTCAAAACCAAAGACTTTTTTCCAGCATAGCCTCTCAGCATTTGGGGTCCCCACCAGAAAGGCATTAGTCCCTAACAAAACCTAGCCCCTGTGTGTGTGGCCCTTCTGATCGTCAGCTAACATTCTGAAAGCATAACTTTAAACTCAGGCTCAAAGGGGGGCCTATTCAGTGCCACTTATAGCATAGAAGGAAAATCAAGGAAAGAAATTTTAACAAAGAAATCTTCAGCATCCAAATTTCAATAATACATTCTAAATGCCGAGGATGTCAATGGCAAGGGGGGGGGAAGGTACATTTTTACTTATATAAAAGGGGTCTATCTTAAAAAGAAAAATGTTACTTTGTGCACAAGAATTTTTTCATTCTTAATGACCAGCCTCTCTGGTGCACCAGGTCCCCAGAAAGAATTTCAAAAACAGACCTATAACAAACTGTAAAGCTATGTGCCTGGCATCCAGTTGGCAGATCTCTCTATGATTTCACTTGGCCAAAAAAATTTTAACCAGAAAACAGCTACAGAGAAGAGTGAACGTAATGCTCGTGGGCCAACTCACCTGTGACATTCACCATGAAGTACCAAGTTTCACTGTCTACAGTCCTAGTAGCAGAACAAGCATAGAGGCCGGAGTCTCTAGGCGTGGCACCTTTTATCTGCAAGTATTCCCCAATAAGCACTGTCCTATTGTTGGGCCCCAAGTGTACCCCATCCTTAGTCCAACTGATCATGGCGGCATCTTTCAACAGGCAGCGCAACTCTAGCGACTCCCCTGGCGCAGCCACGTACACTTCTGGTTGAGAGATTTGGTATTTGGTTGGTGGCTCTGCAGAAAGGTGGGAGAGAAGACGGAGACAGATGGGAAGGAGGGAGAGGAGAGAACGTCCAACAAAGGTCAACGAGGCCCATTCTTCCCAGGAGAAGCTGTTATTGCTTTGCAAATGGCCCCAGCAGGCGACCATCTCTCCCAGAATCCCAGGAAACCAGGAAGCATCTGAAACAGCAACCAGAGAACGCCATCCCCTGCCCCAGCAAATCTGTCCTGCCTTAGTTTCCACATACTGTAGGACTTTAAAAACAAAACAAATCCCAGCATGGAGGGATATTCCACAAGAAATTGTTTAAGCCAATTGCCTATACAAAATCTGCTTGCACCATAGTACCATGTTTTGTTTGTAAGAACACGGTTTTACAAATTTGTACATTCAATGTGACTGTCTCCTCTCTCTCTCTCTCTCTCTCTCTCTCTCTCTCTCTCTCACACACACACACACACACACACACACACACACTCACTCACTCTTAATTATCTATCTGTGTTAGACTTAACCTGTTGTCACAAAGCCAAAATGAAATGTCTCAAACTCTAGGGAAACAAATGGGGCCCTTTACAAAACTGCTTGCCAACTAGAGTTTTCGTGAGCTTTGAGTTCAGATCAGCACTCTGTGGGACTAAAGACTTAATTCTCTGCTGGGTGAGCTGGGACATGCTGTTTTTCTCAGAATGATAAAAGCCTGGAGGCCTTAAATCAAACCAAAAAAAAAGAGCAAAATGTCCAGACAGCTATGAGGCGGTTTCCACTGTGCTTAAACAGATCCTAATCCTGAAACTGCTGAGCGCTGCGGCCCTTCATTTCACATGACAAAGCTGGATCCCACCTACCCACCAACACCTACCATACAGGCCCAGGGCTTCTCAGTCTCCTCACCTTCAGTACCTTTCTCTTCTTTAGGGATACTCCTTCCTCCCTCTCTTCCCTGGTCAACTGATCTGTCCTTCAAGACCCAATCAAGCAGGGCCTTGGTGAGGAGGAAGAGTCGTCTTGTATAAGTCACCCTGGCCAGATGTGAAGTGGATCTCTCTCCCTCCATCATCCATCTGCCCACTTCACCAAGTCATGGGATGTACCACATTTCTTATGAACACATCCCATCTCCCTGAGGAGACACCAAGATCCGAGAGGGAGGACGCAGGTCTTGTGGTTCTTGGTGGCCCCCACCCTGGTCACATTCGGCATACACAGAAAGAAGATCGCAGTGGAACAGGATCACAGTCCCCAAGATCACAGTCCCCAAAATATGCAGGGCAGGATGGGACCCAAGAGGATGCAACCCACAAAACCTCTCCAAAATGGAAGCCACTGGCATTGAAGAACAGCTGGAGCTGCTGGCCAGGGCAGCCGTGAGGGCCCGTGAAGCAGGCTTTCAACTCTCCAGAGAGGACTGTAAATGGTACCTGGACTCCTGGGCCCAAAAGACACAAAGCTTCCCAGCCGTAGGTTGGCTCCAAATCTGGGCAGCATCACAAGGCAATTGCTTTGTCATCATCATCATCACAACTCCACTCAAAAGGACAAATCTCCAACATGAGATTAAGACAAGATCGACTCGTGTTTCAGTCCTACTGTGAAAGGAGCAGCGAAGGCCACACACATCTAGGACAAGAAATCCCCACAAATACCACCACCGCCAGCCACACAGGAGGCCCAGGGCTTCCCAAACAGGCATCACCAAAGGCCTACAAGCCAAGAGAGGCCAGATGTTAAATAGTGTATGAACCTAGAGAGATAACCACAACAAAAGGAAGAAAACAGAAGTTGGACATAGATAAGCACACCCCGAAACAAGGGAAGAAAGCCCCAAATGATAGGCAGGTTATGTTTCAAAAGCTTGCTTTTCTCACTCAATTATTTATTGAACACCTACTAAGCTTTATTCTGGATGCTCAGGAAGCAGCAGGAGACAAGACAGAAGACCCTCACTGTGGTGGGGGTGACAGACAATAAATATGAAATTACAGAAAATATAAAGTACGTAAGGTAGTCATAAGTGTTAGAAGAATACAGCAAGATATAGCAGCACACACAGAAAAATGGTGAGGAGGCTCCATCCATGACAAGAGGTGGCACACGCTGGCCTGCAGGCCAAGCCAGCCATGGCTTGTTTTTGTAAACAAAGCTTACTGGAACACAGCCATACTCATTCCTTAACGTATTGTCTGGGACTGCTTTTGTGTTACAAGGGCAAAGTTGACTCATTGCAACAGAGAACCTATGGCCCGCAAAGCCTAAAATATTTACAATCTTGTCATCACAAAAGTTTTTCAATTGGAGTTGAAATCCAGTATAAGACCAGAGAAGGTTTCTCCAAAGAGTTGCCATTTGAGCGGAGGCGTGAAGGGCAAAGTGAAGTTTAAAAGATGTTGGGGGCTGAACACAGTGTCTCAAGTCTGTAATCCCAGGACTTTGGGAGGCTGAGGCAAGAGGATTGCCTGAACCCAGGGGTTCGAGACCAGCCTGGGCAACTTGGTGAGACCTCGTCTCTACAATAAATCAAGAAAAATTAGCTGGGCATGGTGGCATATGCCTTTAGTTCCAACTACTTGGAAGGCTGAGGTGAAAGGATCACCTGAGCCTAGCAGGTCGAGGCTGTGGTATTCATGAGTATGCCACTGCACTCCAGCCTAGGCAAGAGAGTGAGACTCCAACTCAAAAAAAAAGATGTTGGAAACTTGGCTGGGTGTGGTGGCTCATGCCTGTAATCCCAGTGCTTTGGGAGGCCAAGGCAGGAGGACTGTTTGAGTCTAGGAATCCAAGACCAGCCTGGGCAACATAGCAAAACCTCGTCTCTACAAAAAAATCAAAAAACTAGCCAGGCATGGTGGCATGCGCCTGTAGTCCCAGCTACCTGGGAAGCTGAGGTAGAAGGATGATCTGAGCCCAGGAGGTCAAGGACATGGTGAGCCATGATCACGCCACTGCACTCCAGCCTGGGTGACAGAATGAGACCCCAACTGAAAAAAAAAAGATGTTGGGAGCTTAGTTGAAAGGTTCTCAGATCTGGTCTCCCAAGGCTGTTAAGTCACAACGTGGCTAAGCTGAATGACTAAAAGAAATACTTTGAACTCTGGAGACTGAACAGAAAAAGAGAAGAAGAGAAATATGAGAGAGGGGCAGGGGAAGAATTCAGTTTAACCCCAAATCTTAGACCATCATCCATTCCCAGCATCTTAGAATCACAGATTCACTCAACATGGGAACTGAAAGGGCCCAAAGGTTATCTGTCCAGCCCCTTTTACAGCTGGCTAAAGCAAGTATTAGACACCATGTAGGTTCCATGTCTCCAATAACTAATTACTAAAACAGTACCCACCAAGTTAGAATAAATTTACACTGAATTAGCCTGCGTCATGAAACGATCAATATTTATTATGACCACAAGGCGTGATCCACAAGTCACCAAGAATGTTACGGAATTTGCTTTCCTCTGAGTCAGAACTGGTCGCCAGGGATTCCTGAGGAGAAGCAGCAATGCTTCCCTCCCTTAAAGGGGAGGCCACTGGGACCGGCCCATCCAATCTGACTCCAGCCCAGCCAATCTGACTCCGGCACAGCCAATCTGACTCCATGAAGTCGTGCCCTATGTCATGCAGTGGACTGCTAGAAGACTGCATTAGGGAGAGGCATTTGCATTTGTGATGTAGAAAACTCTCTCCTGACAAAGGAAGAGTTAAGATGTGTGACTTTTCCATTTTTAAAGGAAAGTGTTTTCATTGAGAATCCTTTCCTTCTAAAATCAGTAAGCCAAAAAAGTCTTGCTAAAACCAGGGATGTCTGAATTGCTGGATCGATGTCACCAGACACTACTACCCTCTGATGTTCTGAAGGAAGAACATGGGACATTGATGACCTACATCTTGTTTGGAGATAACAGAGGAGATGCTTGGTATAGAATACTGCCCTGGATGGGAAGAGGAAGCAGCCCTGAGCTCCCTTTCCTCTCTGTTCCTGCTTAACCTCTCAGACTCTGTTTCTCTATCTACTGAATAGCAGAAATACCCAAATATCAGTTTATTATCTGTAAGGCTCCAATGAGCCAACAAATGTGAACCTGATCTTCCAGCTACAGCCAATGACTGTCACAATCACTGGTATTCTTCAGTGCCCAAGAGGTTTGCCATAATTCTAAGCATCACAATTTTCAGAAGATAATCACAGAACACTTGGATATGTACCTCCTGATACAAAACTATTTTACTGATGGGTTCCCATCTCAATGGACAGTTAAGATGACTTGATGTACTAAAAATGGTTTTTATTTCCAGTAACACCAAGTCAAAATTGTCATCCAGATTTCCAAACTTGAAAGACAGTAAAGCATCTCTCCAAAGTATATCAGTAAGAAAATGGCATTTATCCATAAAATCAAGCCATCCCAACTTCAAAGTCCCAAAGCAGCAACCACTGTCTTGGAAACTGGACTCCTCCCTCCTTTCTCTAAGAGGTCATTTTACAATGCTTGGAGGTCAGCAGAGTCTTTGGTAAACAATCCAGCAATATCCCTGGGCATCCTAGAAGACTTCAAGCACATGTTAGGGAGAAGGGAGAACAGGTGAATAAATACAAAAGAAAGGGAGGAAGAGATTGGGAGAAGAAAAGAAGGATGTAAGAGAGGCCATGAGGGGGAGGAACAAACTGCAGAGGGGCTGACTGTCAGAAGGGCTGACTGTCAAACCTTCACCTCCCATGCCGCCCAGAGGCCCCCATGGCCCAGCTTGCAGGTCTCTGCACATGGGCACACATCAAAGATCTCGCAGGACAGGGAACCAAGAACACAGAACCCAAACAGCTATCTTGGTAGAGACAACTCTGTCCCTGCCCTGTCCTTGAGGTCATTCACTGTCTTTGACTTCTCTCTTTGAATGCTGCGGATGACATCATTGCCCACTCCCTGCAAGCATGTGCTCCCGAGCCCTCTGCGTCAATCTCCATGGCTGTATTTACCTCTCCTTGTCCTGTGGGAGCCAGAACAACCTGCTACTTCTCT